GAAGTTAAAAGTTTTCACTGGTTTCACATGCAGAATTTTTCAATCCACAGACAACTGTAGCTAAATTTAGAAGTAGCATTTTGCTTTTGAACAGTCATTGTTCATTTAAAACAGATATTAAATAAATGTATGTTGTTAGCATGTGTGAAGCATAAGAGGAAATGGAAAGTTCTTGCTTACTGTGACTGTAATTGCAAAAGACTGAAAAGAGATAATTTAATGATAAACTATTAAGCATAGACCAAAACTATGGATTATTCAAGAGGTACAAAATTAATGTTGTGTAGAAAATAGCTTGATTTCCTGGGGTGAACAGTATAGCAGATTGTTGCCTTAAATTTTTTTTTTTTTCACTTTGCAGCTCATTCCTAAATGTTAGGAGAGTTTAAAAATCTGAATCTCTTGTTTACTTGGTGAAAGGTCATGCTCTCTTGTATTTCCACTGAATAAGATAATTACATTTCTTCCTACAGTTTATAAAGACTAGCAATATACTTTATGGTAACTGCAAATCTTCAAGGTATTTTGTCCATATAATCTTGCCTATATTTTATTTGTTTGTGAGTTTAACCAATTCTGGCTAACACTGTGCCTCATGATGTAACCTGTACATATACTGTGCTTTCCTACTCAAGAACACACTTATAGAGTGCAATTTCAATTTCTTCTAAATTGCATTGATAATCTAGAAACCATTTTCTGATTTCCTTCAAACCCACTATTCTGAGGAAATGATGGTATATAGTAGGATTCCACTTGCATAAAACAACTTAAAATTATTGTAAATTAAAAAATAAATAAATCTAGAGGTAGTTCCCATTTACAGCGATTCACTGAAGTGATTTACTGTTTTGGTGAGTACCAAATCTGTATTACGAGAAAGGTCTACCTGTAGAACATAAAGCACAGAACAAAACTCTCCAGTTTAATGCAGATATTGCAGACAGCCTTGAGCTGGATGCAGGTGTATACTGTAGAAGGTTGGTGTACAACAACAGGATGTTCTAACAGTTTGAGGGAAATCTTCACTATGCTGGTGGGTTTCCTTGGGTGTTTGAGTTTAATGATAATGTGCACTGGAATTTCTGTGAAGGATATGCCTCAGAGCTCTTGATTTGAAAAGGACTCCTGAAGAGAAGATAATGTGCATAGTGTTTTTTAATAACCTATGCCTATCAGGCTGTCTGGTGCTTATTAATCTGATTGTCATTAATCTGATAGTCAGGAATTAATTTCAAGGCTTTAAGGAGAAAGCAACAAGAAGCATAACTGCAGTGCAACTTCTTTGAGGCATCCTAAATCTCAGAAGGATTTTAGTCCTTTTCCTAGAGTACACTGAGATACAACATTGACAAAGACAACCACTAAGCAAATTCAAAGAAACCAACTTATTCAGCAGTTGCCTGGAGATACAGAATATAGAGCCATAAAACTGAGTTGGTTATTTCACATGGGGAGGAAACTGAAGCTGGATCCCACAGAATTAAGCCATGTTGCCATCTGGCAGGAAGTATGGGAAGATGGCTTTGCAGTTTGGAAACTGCAAAATTTGAACAGATCTCAGAAACTAAGGAAGCTAAAGTCACAGTTCTAAGGGTTACATGGCCAATTTAAATGTCTGGGCAACCATAATTCAGTTCTGATTTTATTATGGACACTGAAACTTCTTCATGGCTCACAACCTAGCATGGATTCCTCTCAGAGCACTACACTGGGATATATATCAGTAAGAAGAAGGACACATATCAGAAGAATGATAAGATGCATGGGATAAATATATTTAAAGATGCTAACAAAGACTGGTGTCCTGGGTTCAGCTACAGCAGTCATTTTTTCTCCTTCTTAGTAGCTGGTGCAGTGCTGTGTTTTTGACTTTCAGCCTGGGAACAACGCTGATAACACCGATGTTTTTAGTTGTTGCTCAGTAATGTTTACTCCGACCAAGGATATACAGGTTTTTGAATCTCAAGATTTTAACTCCATCATGTCACACCAAAAACATTTTAACTCTAAGTAGACAGTTGTTGTTTTAACAGTAAATTAAAAATGTCAACGAAGAAGATAATTTGTAATAAAAATTACTTAGTAGTTAATCTGAAAAACCTTGAAAGTAAACCAGCATTTTTTTCTTTTGTTTGTTTGTTTGTTTTTTTGTGGTGTGATGTTCTAAGGCATGAATCAGAACTGCAGAATTAAAGTTTATTGTCACAAAACCATGCTTGGAGTTTTTAAGGCTGCAACATACTCTTATTAAGCTTGCACACATACCCTACATATACTCTTGTTCCTTCATCCAAGAACAGGTTTCAGCCCTAAGAAAAATAAATACAACATGCCAAATCTGCTACAGGCTGCATAGGTGTGCCGCAGACAGAATCAGGCAAACACCTGTGGGAAAGCAGGTATATCCATTATTCCTCAGGGAGCATATTAAGATAGATAGCTTTCTGTCACACTGAAAGAAAATGGAGATTCTTTTCTATTGAAAGACTTCATCATATTTAGGATATGGTTTACATTATGGAAGAACTTCTGGCAATAACCATGAAAAAAAAATCATTTTATTCATCTTGATCACTGTCAGGAATTTTTCCATTATGTAAACAACAGCTCATAGGAATTCAGGCATCCAAAGCTTCGAAATAGCTTTGAGAGCACACAGCAACTGACTTTGCTGAATGCAAACTCGTCAAACAAACCTCTTGATAGTTACTATTCTAAGAAGCGCATCACTTCTGTCTTTGCCTGCATAGACTACAAAGTGCGTGAAAGGTACTGAAAGAGCCTGAGAAGTTGCTGGGGGGAGGGATATGCAAATTTATTCAGATTTTTTGAATCAGTGGAAAAGCACTTTGACCAGTCCTAGAGATGTGCTTGCTATTCTAAGCTCTTTCAAATGTCATTTTAAAATAGTAATAAGAATTTAACTTTGAATTTAGATAGCATCACATACATTAAAATATCACAAGAAAACAGCAGTACTCTGTATACCCTATTCAATTTTGACTGTGGTCAATTTAAAACAGACAGGGTGCCCTGAAATTAATATTTTTGGGCCACAGGAGAGTACTTTTAAGCACTTGTTTTCAGTGAGAAACTGTGCTATCTTTGTTTGGACATCATGTGTGCCCAGGATTTAGTATTTGGTCTGAAAAAGCAGAAGAATCAATTCATAACACAAAAAAAATGGCAATTCATCACCAAGTAAATTTTTCCAACAGCACATAAGATTGGGATGATAACACTCTAACACTTTACTAATAATTACTCATCAATTCTTAGCAGAACATACTACAATAAAACCTATTTTTCAAGATTTTTTGTTAATCTTTTTCCTTTTTAACATCATGTACTTTAGATTGCCTCTTCAAATTAGATATTAGTGTGGTTTTTAACTTTCAGATACTTAGAGGTTAGTGAAGGGGTTTATTTCTTTTGATTCCTCTCCCAGGAAAAGAATCTACCAGCTTGTTAACTTTCTCAGTACTGCTTATATAGAAGGCCTTATTTTCTTTTCTTACCTCTGCTCCAAAGATGCTGTGAGAACCTGCAACTTCTGTTAATTTCCTTGGGTATTGCAGGTGTTCAGCAGCTCTAAGGATTGAAGTACTGGGACCAAACAAATGTGAGAAGCTCACAGTGGATCCATGGAGCTAATAAGGACTGTGAGTCCTAAAATAGACAGCAGTGAACTTAGACCACCAAAAAAAAAGTATTTCTTCCAAGTGAATACATCAAGAAAGATGTCACTTGTTAGAAAAATACCTTACTTCTCTTTTGTCAAGTGGCTGTGTTCACAAGCTCTTACATTTTGCAGACTGAAACAGAGTAAGATTTGTTCCTACTCACATCTGAATCTCAGTCTGATTCCCATGACTATTACTGTCACTATACAACTAATACAAAAATATTTTCTATTATTCTCATCTTCTGCCCAATAAAGTTGCATTCTCCCCTTTTCTTTTTAATGTTGTATTTTATTATTTATTTGTTGTCCTTTTTATTGTGCACTGGTAGTTATTTATGTTTTATGTATGCTGGAAAATTCTAATAAAAGCACTAGGACTTAGAATAGAAACTTTTCTCTTTTTTAATTGATGGAAAATCTGCAAGTTTAATTAGGTAACCCATTGAGATAAATGCATCAACAAATAAATTTCCCACACAGGAATGCAGTACAGCGAATGAGAAACTGCCTAGCAAGTTTCAATTCACTTGGGTACCAAAGTATTTATATCCACCACATTTGGGCCAGATAATAGCTTTCTGATACAACCCACAGACTACAGAGGGAACCCCAGCAGGGCAGCTGATTCTTAAGTACTGGGAAATCTCCCACTGAATTAGAGCACACACATTTTTTTCTTTCAGTGACAGGCGAACAACTGCATGCCAGGAACATCCCTTAAGGAAGAAGGGCTCAATACAAACTGCTCTTTGCAGGTAGTTACTGTCTATGCTCTTCTAGTTTGCTCTATAAGAAGGTGGTCCTGAAGATGTGGAGAACAGAGAAGTACAAAGACCTTATTTAGTCTATGAATCTCTTGTTCACAGTGCAGGTTATTTGTCTAGTTTTACTATGTGCCATACAAATCCAGAAAAGAGAAAGGTGAGGCTACTCTGAGACTTCTGATGCCAACCCCTGGTAAAAACTAGGAAGGTATGATCTTGTAATTAGACATATCATGAGAAGGGGTATTGATACTTAGTACAATGCTTTAAAAAGAAGAAACATAAAAAATACTTTAAAATAATAATCACATAATATGGGTCATAACTTTTGTAACAAAGCTGGATGTTTGACACTTTAATAACTGACATAAGGAAGCAATGGTATTTATAAAAGACATTTATTTCTCATGATTCAAAGAGGCATTGCACTTTTTACTTTTGCAGCTGAAAAGCAGTGTTCTTGAGGAAACAGTTAAAAATAACAGAATAAAATAAGGAAAGAGCAGTATCAGTTCAGAGATTCCAACCTATCTGCAATTTGCTTCCACTTAAAAACATGACTGTTTCTTCAGAGCAATAACTGCACAGCATCTGGGGGATTTCACAGGATCAAATAACTTCACAAGTCCAGACCAGGCAATGTTTTCCTGTAAAATGATATATGGTTGAAGTGCATGAAAATGTGTTTGACTTAAAAGCTAAGATATGGTATTAGGTCCACATTTTGAAACACAGAATTAAAGGAAAAAATAAATCCTTAATATGAAACAGGAAAAACACTTATCTAACAAGAAAAACATACAAAGTTTGTTGTGAAAAAAGAACACCCAAACCAGGATATATTTTCAAGTCATTAAATTATTTCTGGCACTACCAAATGTTAGCTTACCACTCCCTTCACCAATTAAGGTTTTTTTCAGTTGAACTAGAAAAAAATTAAGGATCAAGTCCTACTTATTTTATGCAGCACATTCTAATACTGAAGCTAATTAACTGACTTTTCAAATGAATCAGGCCAGCTGGATCCGGTCTTCCTGTTGCATATGGCTTTTATCATTTCTACTTTTTCTTCCTAAACACATTTTGTGAATCAAGCAGTCCAAGATTAAATCAATGCATATATTACATTTAGAAAAGGTGAACTAGTGCTAAATGCAGCAAGTCTGATTTCCCATCTCAGAAATCATACAGATGTCTATGTGATTTAGAACTGGTTGGCATTTGGGAAAATACATCATTATTTAAAAATTTCAAATTGTCTCTCTGTAAAAATATCAGTTAGAATAAAAGCACACATTTACTACAACTGAGTTATTGCAAGTGCAGTGTGGCAGAAAATACAGTGAATTTTCACTTATGATAAAACGGAGCTGTTAAAATCGAAGTTTTATGGTGGAAAACCAGAGCTGTTCACATGAATGGGTTTAAACTTTATTTTAAAATTATATTTTGACCATGGCCCAGAGCAGAAGCTGGAAGATGCTACCATTTCCTCCTGGCAAATTATTATTTGTCCTGAAAACGTTTCTGGCACAGAGAAAGTATGACTGCTGCTTCTGAGTTAATATGGCCAAGCTCACAATTAGTGTTAGAGGAAACACTGTAATATAAATCATTACGGAGTAAATGCAGTAGCATTTGCTTATTATATCCCAGGTCTACACTTGTAAAATATATCCAGGCTGTATGTTAGTCAAATGTACCTCAGTTGACCTATACAGTTGGAAAAAGTGCACCCTCTTTCATCATTGATCTTAATTAAGAAACAATAAAAGGAAATCCGAAACATTTTGGACCTAGTTCAAAATATCTTGAATTATATGTTCTAAATTGTAAGCTTTAGCATGTACTGCACAATGTTTGTTTAGCATTTCCAATATTCTTTTTAATAATTAAATATCTCAATATGTTCTATAACTGAGATTTGTTGCATATTTAATTAATTTCTTTTTTACTGTCTATTGACTAGTAATTACCATACAATTAGAAGAACATAAACTTTAATGTTGCTGCTTTGCTGAAAATAAAAACATCTGCTGGGCATATGTTTATAAATAATGGAATGAATGCTTATACTTTTGCAAATATGACAAGAATAATAATTCTGCAACAGACTTTTGGTCGGCAGAGTAATAAATTGGCTGAAAAAGTCTCATTTCACTGGTGCAGCCTTTAGGTATCATAAAATATAATGCAAAAATACCTGCTCCTTGAGATAGCAAACACGATCCAGAAGTATCAAAAATTCTATGCAGGGAGCCAGAACAACCTTCAACTGAAAGAAAGATTAGATACTATAATGATTTTGGGAATGAGAGACAATACACTTCCAAATGGCTACACTTCCACAAAACAGTTCCAGGAAGGTCAATCATTTTCTAGTGGTTCTGTTGTACAAATGACACCTTGCCAATTTTCCCTTCAGGATGGACATCTTCAAAACAGATTACATTAAAGATCAAAAATATATGGAATGCTGTAAAGCCAGGAAACTATGTTATTTAGTTGGTTTTGAGACATTGTCCAGCAAGAAAATGATATTACATGAAGCAGAACAATTTTAAAGAGGGAAATAATGAATTTTAATAAAAAGAATTTTTATGAAATAACTGCATGGAGACCAGTCTAGGTTTAAAAGGAGACTGACATTTCATTTTTCAGGATAATAGTCCCTCTTGAAAAAGAATCTTCCATGTGTTCACTTTATTATTTTACTGACACCTAATATAGTTTTGGAATAGGATATGCTCCAAAGTTTGGAAGGGGGAGCTGCTTTGTTTTTGTCATTGCATACCACAGTGTAAGACAGTCCACCTCCACATAAAACTTAACAGGGCTTTGTTCTAGACTACCACATATAGACAAGGTAATAGTATTAATCCTATAACTTTTACCATATTAAATGCTTCGAGCTCATTCATTCTGTGCTTGTATTTCTCATAGTAATCCATTATACAGCCATCTGGGAGCTGCAAGGGATTGAAACAAAACAAAACAAAACAAAAAAGGTATCACAGTTATTCTGGTTACTTTTTCAAGAGAACTTTAAAATAAAATATTTTTTCCTAATTGAAAGCCTCACTACAAAATGAAATCTGTCTTTTGTTTTCAAACTAGCACTTTCCTAAGGTTTATAATAATTTTCCAATAGGAGTTTCTCATTTCCTATTTACAATAACTCTTAGTCAGACAGCAGTTTGCACTGACAAGAAACAGAGATATATTCATTATTCAGAAAGCTCTAGCAATTCTTAAATGAGTATTACACAGTAAAGTGGAGATAACACTCTCATTTCCTTTCTCATATATCTTGTCCCCTCCTCAGCCCCATCCCCAAGAGATTTATATAAATAGCTGAGGAGTGGATTCTGGTGTGAGAGTAACATGCTTCAGTCAGGACTCCGGGATGGTATTTCACATTAGTAAACCTACTGTCGGAGTCTGGAAATGCTACTTTGTTTCTACATGCCTCAAGTTACACGTCTTTAAAACAAAACTTCCTCTATTTGCTTTGAATTGCCACACATTCCCCCACTTCCTTTCCAAATCACCTGATGCAACATTGCCAGCACTGCCACTACAGCTGTAAATGTTACGGTTTGGAGCTGAATGTGACAGCTCAAGAACTTGACTAAGCCAAATACCCCTTCCCTCAGTTCAGCCATTAGTGGCCAGTGCACCAGAGAGCCAGCTAGAGCTATGACCGTAACTGTCCTTCACAAAGTCTGTTCTCTACAGGGCAATCAGATCACAACAACTTCCAGTTTTCAAAAGTCACGATATCTACTGTTATGCTTTCCACAGTCCTGGATACTAAACCAGACAGTTAGGAACCTGTCAGAGGAAGGGGAATTAGGTTTGCTATGCTATTGGTGATGAAGGCTGCTGGAGAGAGCAGAAGCGAAAGAGCCTGGTATACTTCTTTCAGTATTGGGAGTTTGCAGTGTGGCTACTCTGCTGCAGCTATGGAAAAAGCTAGTCCAAAACTCATCAGAAAAGTAATGGTATGACAGACATGTAGCTGTGGCACTGAAGGACATGGTTTACTGGTGGACTTGGCAGTGTTGGGTTTACAGTTGGATGCAATGATCTTGAAAGTCTTTTCCAATGTGAATGATTCTATGGCTCTATAACAAAAGACTAGGAAAGCTGAAGTATTTAATATGTTTTTGCACAGGTTTATTAGAAGAGTCATCTGACAGCATGTGACTAATCCAGTTGCAAAGACGTAAAATCTCAGCATAAAATAGGGAAAAAAAGCTAGAGAACATTTTCACAAATTAGAAGTTTTCAAATCAGGTATGTATTATGAACTTCACCCTAGGACAGCCAAGAAGGGAATGAAGTCACCTCAGAACTATTTATGACCCATTGTCACTGAGAAGTTCTCAAAGATGGTATGTCAGATGGCGAGTAGATGTATGCCTTCTATTATAGACCACTAAGCTCAAATTCAATGCACTGAAAAAACCTGAAGAAATAAAGAATTTAAAAGCACTGAGAGATAAGCAGATGAGTTATAGTCAAAATGAATTTGTCAGGAACAAATCATAAGTCAGTCTCCTCTGCATGGAAGGAAGGTGAAAGGATTCACAACAAAAAAACCCAAATGCTTGTAATATTTTGATTTAAGCAGATTTTGGATGCCATTTCGCATCATTTCATAAGTAAATTTAAGAAAAAAGTTTTAGATTAAAGTAATATAATGTGAATGAAAACTATTTGAATGACCACAACCGGAGAGTAGTTACTGAATATTTGAACAATTAAAAAGACCTGCTGACTTAAGGTCCATTACAAAATGCAATGTTTTCATTAAGAACTCAGACAATTGAATGAAAACCACATTAAGTAAATCTGCAAATGTACAACAGGAAGGCATTGCTAGAACCTAAAATAATTTTCAGAAATTTGAGTAGTAATTAGAAATGAAGTTTGAAATGCCATACAGAAAAGCATAATGGACTACACTCAGGCAGAAATAATCAGCTGTTCAGGATGGGGAACACCAAATGACAGTCTGGGAGATACAGCAGTTCACAAGCTGAGTGTGAGTCACAGTTGAGCTACTGCAAAAAAAACCGATCACCATTCTGCGACATGTATGGGAAAGCAGCCTGCGAAGCGCGGGAAGTAATCCTTCAGCTCTGCTTGGCAGTGGCAAAGCTGTAGCTGGAATAGTGCATCCATTTTGGGCATCAGATTTCAAAGAAATGAACTGTCTGAAAAATCCCTGAGAGAGAAAAGAGGTCAGAGACCTAGAAAACATGACCCATGAAGAAAGACTGAGAGAACTGGAACTGATCAGGCTAAATAAGAGAAAATTGAGAGTGGGCATAACAGTTTTTACAAGGCTATCACCAAGAAGCAGGGAACAGTTTCCTCACTGTGTCTGCCGTGTATAGAGTAAGACCTAATGGGCTTGCATTGCAGCAAAAACAACTCAGCCAAAAACTTGAATAAACTTTCTCTCTTTGAGGTTAATTAAGGACAGAGGCGGTTCTCAGTCTCCATCGCAGGAAACTTTAAGATTTGACAAATATTTTTCAGGAATGACACAAAATTCTAACTCTGCCTTAAAACAAGGGGATGGGTTAGAAAAACTTTTGTAGTCTTTCAGCCATACTTTTTAAATCTATAAAGCACTTTTTCCCAGCTACAAAGCCAAAGCTGAGTAGCTGATCTGGCAGTACTAATGTAGACTAAAAATAATTTTTTGATCTTGTTGATATTTTATTTTCAGTAAAACTGTGTAAATATCTGATTTGTTTTTTTCTCCCCCTCTAAAAAGTCAAACCAACTAAAATATATCAGTCATGAAATAAACAAAATGGTTTACTTAACCTCTGCTCTGTAAGCTTTTCATTTCAAGTGAGAATTAAAAGGGGTTTAGTATAATGACTTTTTGATATTACAGGCTATTTGGAATTAAAATACAAAGTTCTGTATTGTAAAAATACAATCATAAAGCCTTTCTGCTTTCGCTTCCTTTATGTTATCCATTTTTTAACATGAAACATTCAAATTAAAAGAAAACAAGCTGTGAAATGTTTGCCAAATAAAAAGCCGTGTAAAAAATGTCTCAAGTACTGAGCCCAAATGCTTTTCCACTCCATCCTTGCTTACTACATATTCTGATGTGTATAGATTAGGTACTATTAAATTAGCTACAGATAGATTACGTACTATTGCAAACTATGCCTCAGTTAAAAGTTTGGTTAGTGAACCAATTCAATGCAACACCCCAGCTGGGAAAGAGAGAAAGTGTCCACCAAAAAGCACTGACAGAAAAAAGCATGAAAAGGGTAACTGGTAGCTAGCTATATTATATAGTCAGTTTAATGGAAGAATACTAAAACCCAGATAACACTGGCTTTTTCTTACGCTGCACCAGCTTGCCACCTGGTTTCAGTCTTGAAAAGGTTCCGAACACAATCTTCAGCTGTCCTTTCAAGGCAAAGTAGGAGTAAATTATTGTTTGCATTTTCAGGAACAGAACTGTACTTACACATGCAAAGCAAGGCCTATTTAGACACTGGAATTGGCTATGCAACAGAGCTAGAGGACAGCAAGGTCTCCATTGACCTACTTGTAACTATACCATATTCTGGTGGTGGCACTAAAACTATACGATAGGCCAGACCCATCTGTTGAGATCACTAGGAAACTGTCAATAGAGCCCTGGGAGCAAGGTAGATAGTACGCACCTACGCGCACCCGAGTTAGACTGAAATCCCACAAACATTGAGACCATGACTGAGCATAGGCTAAAAAGAAAACGTTCAGGCACAAGGTGTGTGACAATTAGTGGTATCACACTTAACAGAGAGTATTTTTTCAGAGTTGTGCATTTCTCTAGACTAAGAGTATTTTGACTAAATGAAAGTCTGGTTTACTGTCTGACACTGCACATGCCCTACAGAGGGGAGACAGCCTAATAAGGATGCTATTCCAGTCTTTTTAAACAGATGCAATTCATCTTTGCTGCCTCAGAGGGACTGTTTTCCCCTGCACTGACTGCACATTTCCGTTTCCTCTTTCTTCTTGTACCAGCATTATCATGAACACTAGTAAGAGTACAAGAAAGCAGTCAGGCAAACCTTTTAGCAAAGGAGTGTCTTAAATCAGCTTGAAACATTGGGAGAGCATACCATACAGCAAATTTTTACAATTTTCCCACGATAAAGGTAGTTAAAAATAATGCACTGTAATATAGTGTAAAATACTGTAAAATAGATAATGAAATTACTGAGAAACTTCATTTTATTTAAAACTTTGTTTAAAATGCATTTCAAATAAATACAATCTATATTATTTACAATTATATGTAACTGAAGTAAAAATCACATCTCTTAAGATTCCTCATCAGACTAAAATGTTATGCTATCACAACTGGGATAGTATTTTGCCTGTTTGAAAAACAGTTACACTTGAGAACAGCATTATGCTCATATACTTTATAAGCTGTAATGCCAGTGTTACCTGAGCTAACTAACAAATGAACCAGGAAATCTGTGAGCTTAAGTTCTTTCTGTCCAAGAAAACAGTAGAGAAAGTCAACCCTTCAACTGCTGTAAAATGCATTACATGTGTAAATTCATTTAGTGCCTTCATTTTTTGACTGTTTAGACTCAGTTAATTGCCGTGTTAGAACGCATGGGAAAGTGGAGAGTATTGTTTTGGCTCTGGCTCCATGTTTGTCCTATAGCTGTACACAATAAAACCCATCAAAATTAGAAATAATCTTAGCAAAGGTCAGCCAGTTTGAGGTATTTGCTGTCATTTAAAGATATCAACACTGAATTTGGTGAGCGGTAGACATTAAGATTGTAAGAACTCTCAGGTTGAAAGTCCCTCTCTTTTCCAGTTTCTGCAAAAATTCTCCTTTTTAGTTTCCAGTATAGTTGTATATATTGAGGTTAGTTCATGTCTTAATGTATTATACAATTCCATTACTGACGGTTCCACA